CAAACAGCAGTCAGGGGCTCCAGGAGGAGCTAGCAAAGGTAAAGAAAATCAAATCCAGCATATTTTATGTTCCAAAGTATTATTAGGCAAAACTTTCATGAATCAAAATCAACATACTGTGAGGTCTCTTGCCAAGGAGCAGATTTCTCATTAGGAAGTTCGTGGGGTTTAAAAAAAAAAAAGTGTGTGTGTGGGGGCCCTCCTCATGGGGTCCTTCCTCTTGACAGCATGTTCTGTGGCAGCAGGTAGGTTTACTCCTTCCTTCTGGCACTTTCCTTCTCGTGAGATCAGAAGAGTATTTTCACACCTTACAGTTTTATATGGTGTGGGAGATAACAGAGCATTTTCAGGTATATTATTTTATTTGATCATCCCAATTACCTTGTGAAGAAAGATGTTTTTGTGCAAGGAGAAACTGAAACCCTGAGAAAAGAAGGGACATGCCCAGGTCATAGACCCCCACCATGTGCTGGGTCTTCTGGTGCTGGTGCCACAGGGCTTACACTCACGTGCCACATCCAGTATTTGTAACCCCTTGGGGATGTCAGATAAATGTGACTATAGATTATTCAGTGGCAATTGATGCTGTATTTATATTTTAGTTGCACATCTAATTTTATTGGATTTTTCCACAGCCATGGAAGAAATCATGGCTTTAGGAAAGAGATGGGTGGGGGTTGTTGGTCTGACAACTGGATTTGTGCAGAGTAATAGAATGACTAGAATTGACCTGCCACAGAGTAGAGGGTGGAGGGTGCAGATCCCTCTCATACCCTCTACACCATTTCTTGTCTTGTCTTTGGGTTATGTCCATTTCACAAGGTAGGGAAATGTGGCCAGGGAGTGTGGCCATTCAAAGTCAATGGCAGGGGAATGATATTAATAATAGCTAACATTTACATAGGCTTAAAATGCTAAGTACCTGGCAGAGCTCATAAGGCTTCAGATAACTTGACCCCATTAATATTCACATACATCCAATAAGGTAGGTCTATTGCTATTGCTAATTTCAGTGAAGGAAAACCAAGATACAGAGAGAGTAAGTGACTTGTCCAACTTCATGCCACTAGAAAGTGGGAGAGAGCAGGCATTCAAACCTAAGCAGTCAAAATCCAGAGATAGAAAGAAAAATGTGCTCATGTGGCAGACTCCCATCTGCCCCTAAGTAAGCAAATAAAGGGAAATGATGCTCCCTCTTCACTGACGGATCCTGTGGCAGACATTGCTAGTCAAGCACAGCACTCTTTCCTGCTGAGCCCAGATGGAGCCTCACAATCCTTCTCAACATAGTGATCCACCACCAATATCTGGAAACCAGCCAATCATAATGAGGGATAGGAGCCTATCTGTCTTCTCTAGGGAACATACTATAAATGCCAATTAATTCATGCAGTGTGGAGCATTGAATCCATGGCCTTGCACATGCTACATAAGTACTCTACTACTGAGCTACATCCCCAGTCTTTTTATTTTGAGACAGAGTCTTGCTAAGTTGCACAGGTCAGCCTTGAACTTGCAATCAACCTGCTTCATTCAGCCACTTGAATAGCTGGGATTATAGGTATGCACCATTGTGCCCAACCATATTTTTTTTTAAAAATAAATGTCTCTCTGTGTGCCCATGTGTGGCCTTATAAAATGAATTTGATAATTTGATTTAATTTGCATGTACGGAACATCTGCTATGGGTCACGGAGGTGCTCTTGTTGGGCACTGAGATGCTAAACAAGGGAAAAACAAAGTTATGTCTTAAAGATATTAGAAGAATATTCTATATAAAGAAACCTTGCTGGCGGGGCTGGGGTTGTGGCTTAGTGGTAGAGTGCTGGCCTAGCATGCATGAGGCAATGGGTTCGATCCTCAGCACCACATAAATGTAAAATAAAGATATTGTGTCCACCTAAAACTAAAAAATAAAAAAAAAGAGAGAAACCTTGCTGGGGCTGGGACTGGGGCTCAGCGGTAGCACACTTGCCTGGCATGTGTGAGGCATTGGGTTTGATTTTCAGCACTGCATATAAATAAAATAAAGGTCTATCAATAACTAAAACAAAAACAAAAACAAAAACATTTTTTTAAAAAGAAACCTTGCTATAAATTCTTTCAAAAAGTGAATTCTCTCGTAAGTCCCTTCTTAACCTGTTTTGTACAATCTGGCTTGGTACTTTGGGTTTGCATAGACCAAGGCATTCTTCTATGTACCTTTAAATCCATTTTAGCATTCCCCTACAGTTTTTTTCAGTGCCTTTCCAATTTTTGCTAGCAGGCCATTTATTTTCAAAGCTTTTGCTTTATACACAGTTCCATTCACTTGACAGCATTGTATTTGTCCTGCTCTAGTGGGTAATATATTTACAAAGATTCAGCACATAGAGAGGACATGTTAAGAATGCTTGATTCATACTGTGCAAGAGAAAAACCCTGAATGCTATTTTTCAGTATTAGAATTGTGCTTGGTACTTGAACAGCGGGGATATTAGGATCCCAAGAGGGAGCTTAGTTGTAGAGGCACACAGAAAAGAATTTCCCAGCAATAGAGCAATTACCTCTCCAATACAACAACTCAACTTTCATGAAGATAGTAGGAATGGAGAATGATACATGTGATTAGACAAAAAAAGGATAAAGGTAAAATATCTGCTGAAAATCGCCCAGCTTTTTGTGTGTGTGGAATCAGATTTTTAGGGCTAACTATTTAAGCTGCTTGGGATGTTTGCAGTAGGTAGCGGAACTGAGGCAGAAGAATAGTTTAGTTTTACTTCTAGTTTGACTTAAGCTGATCCAAATGGCCTGGAACTAAAGCTTCTGTACCTTGTTGGATATGGCCATGTAGTCACGACATCAAGGTGAGACACCCCAGGCACCTCTGTGAACCCCATTAACCACTGCTGGGGAACAGCACAAGGAGGAAGTTGCCAAATGGTGAAATTCTACTCAAGGAAGTCGTGCCAACTGCAGAGACAGTATTGGAAAAGTGTCAGCCCTGGGATGAGAGGCATCACTCCAAAGTCAAATACTCAGCTGCATCGAAAGACTATTCCTTCTGGGGGTTTGAATGGGCACCCTGAGAAGCATAGCAAGGTCTTTATCAGGGTCTTTTGATCTATTATCAGATGGTAGGAATGTCTTCTAGGAAATAATTAGAGACCATTGAAAAAACTTAGTTATATGTTCACCAAAATGCTGTTTTACAAAAGTAACAATAAGATCAGAAACAATGAATGGTCGATAATAGGGGATCAATTGGAAATATTGTGACTTAGTCTGGAAGGAAGTGGGGGAGAAGAGGTGGAGATAGGATGGTTATTGGGTACAGAGGTGCCTTTGGATAGGAAGAATAACTTTTAATGTTCCATAGCACAGTAGGTTAACTATGTTTGACAACAATTCACTGAATATTTAAAAGTAATTAATAGAGAAGATTTTGAAGGCTCTCAACACAAAGATAGGACAAATGCCAGAGCTGACAGATTTACCAATCACCTTGATCTGATCACTACACATTGAATACATGCATTGAAACGTCAGGTTGTACTCCATAATTATGTACAATTATTGATTGAGTTAATTAAAAATTAAAAAGAAAAAAGAAAAGTAAGCTAAATAATACTAAAAATTTAAAATATAAAATTATATTCATATAAATACATACTATTTATTTATGACCACAGCATATTAGCATATAAACAAAGGAAAGTTAAAAACTGGTTAAAACACTATAATAAAGTTTGATGCAGCTGGGCTTGGTGGCTCATGCCTGTATTCCCAGTGGCTCAGGAAGCTGAGGCAGGAAGATTATGAGCTCAAAGCTAGCCTCAGCAACTTAGCAAGGCCTTGTCTCAAAATAAATATAAAAAAAGTGGGGCAGAGGATATGGCTCAGTGGTTGAGTGCCCCTGGGTTCAATCCCTGGTACAAAAAACCCCCCCTCTGATCGATATACATATATATGTTTATATATATATATATATATATATATA